GGTGGTTTTATTAAAGCACAGGGACAGGACCCATGGGCAGAAAGAGCTGGACTATAAGTGTTGGGGGATACTTTTATGGAGTAGGGGGAGACAAAGTCAAGAGAGAGTTCCTAAAGGGATTTTTCATAGTCTAAAGACTCAGATAATTGGAGGCCTGGCTATAGTCAGGATAAGGTTGTTTTTCCCTCAGGCAAAGCATTAACATTAAGACAGTAGGGGGTTCCTGGACATTAGGCTGTTGACAGGATTGCCTTTTTCTGGTGAACTGGTGGAGACTCTATCAGTTCAGCCATTTGTTTTTTTCCTTTCTTGGTTTTGAGTAGCCTGGAGTTATCTAAGGAATATCACACATTGCCCACAGTTGGCAGGTAGGGGATTGTGTGCTAGCTTGTGCTTGGCCCCTCAGCCAGCCTCATGCTCCCTCGTCAATATGATGAAAAGATGAGGTAGGAAAACAGGATGGCAGGGTAGGGCAGAGGGTAGGTGGGAGAGGGGCTTTGGGCACACCCTCTCCAATTGTCCCCTCCCCGCACCCTCAGAAACGTTTTGTGACTTTTCAGTGCTCTGTGATGTAAGCCTGGAGAGTTATATAGTCAGGCATCGGCACACTCGGAGCTCAGTTACCTATAGGCAGCCTTGCGATTCAGTTACCTATAGGCAGCTTTGTGATTCTCTCATTTCAGAATAGTGCTACTGAACCATGTTGTGCTTTGGCTCAACATGCTTTGAGACTGACCCCAACTTCACCTTCTTGTATGGGTTGGGGTTGCTTCTTCTGTTCCTGTGCTACCTGATGGGGATTCCATTTCCAACTAGGAACACCAAACCCATCCAAAAGGTAAGGAATCCTGGGGGAGTCCTGAACAGACATTCGTATTGTTTCTACTTCTAGTCCCAAATTTTAAAATGAGTTTGGTAGGATTAGACACAACTAAAATGGGAAGTCTAAAAGAAGAGACATTCACTCCTCTAGGAAGACAGTACTGGCAGGGCTAAGGGTTAAGAAAGTACTAACTAAGGTTTAGTACTTATCTGGCTGTGGTGGCGGGTCTTGGATAAAATCCCAAACATAAGGATTCTGTAGTCTTAGTTTGGGTTTAGAGAGTATGGGATGTGTGTAAGAGAACAAGGTTCCCCAGCACTTGAACATGGGTCACCTTCTCCTGTAAGATTTCACTCGACCGAGCCTTCATGTTGGGCTGATCAGGAGAAGAGTGCTAAGCCTCTGAGACACACTGAGCAGAGACTAGGGTCCAAGCTCTGTCCCAGGATACAGGGTCCTACCTGATGGAGCACTGATGTGACTGTTGGTCCTCAGTTTCTGTTTTTTTTTTTCCTTAAGTTAGAAAGTATACACACGCGCGCGCACACACACACAGAGGGTGGCCCCAGGAGGAGCAGAGAGAGGGAGAGAGAGAATCCCAAGCGGTCTCTGCTCTGACAGCACAGATGGGGACCTTGGATTCACTGGAGACCAGCGAACAGAGATCATGACCTGAGCCGAAATCAAGTGTCAAACGCTTAACTGTCTGAGCCACCCAGGCACCCCAAGAATGTCTCCCATTTCTGAGAGCAGAGTGAGAGATGAGTCCCAGGCTCCTCATTCTTTCATTTTCATTCTAGCGTCAGGGCAGAGCCAAGAGGAGGAGGAAAGGCGGTACACTGAAAGGTAAGCTTCTGCTTGTTCCACATGAGCTCTCCAAGGGTGACCCTTCCTGTCCTTCCCATGAGGTTCCAGTTTCATGATTTCTGAGGATATCAGCTACTAGACACAGTGCCCCTCTGAAAATGGAGGCCTCAGAACACTCAGAACTGGAGGCCCTTAGATTCCTTGCTCTGCCCAACCCTGAGTGTGGAGCCATGGTGGACCTGGGCAATCAATGGTTGTTGCCCAGTGGTGGCCGTGTGAGATGTCAGGAGTCAGAACTTCTGTCTCCTGATTTTGTGCAAGACCTGTGACATCACGGATACTCAGGATTCCTCCCTGAGGTAACCACGGCCTTCTGTGCTTCACAGAGGTGGTGTGAGCATCACATGATGTAATGTAAATGAAATACTTTAATGCTATACCATGTGTCACATCATTGACCATTTGACCTCATCTACCGATTATTGGGGCATTCAGAATCTAATATCGCAAGGGTGTCTCACAAAGGGACTCCTGTATAATACCTGTGTTTCTACCTTCACTACATATAACCCACTCTCCTGGTTTCCCAGGTTGGAAATGCCTTCAGAGAGAAGAGGAAGAGATAAGGAAGCTGATGAGTAATATAAGGAGGTGACTACCCTTTCCCCTTCTATCCTGATCCCTCCTAGAGCATGACTTATGCAATTGTATCAATTCAGTGCAACCTGCCAGTCATGGGAGGGGGGTAGCCATAGGAATGGGTACGTGAATGAGGGCCCTGGGGTGAAGGTTACTGAGTGTATTATGAAATCATAAATGTGGGGCATTGTGAAGGAGCAGCAGGCTTCAGGTGGCCCCTCCCTTGGCAGGTCAGCAGGTGCTCCTTCCCTTGTTCTGGCCCTGGCTGCAGCTTTGTACCTCCTGTCTCCTGCAGCCCCCTAGGCCGGCAACGTGATACAATCCACTTTCGTCAACTGTTATGTCCAGACCCCTTCTGTGAGGTGTGTAATAACACAACTGCTGAGATCAATCGGATGCTGTACCCAGAGGCCCTCGAAGATGCTACTTCCTTGGGTTCCACAGCACCTGTGACTGACTCATTGTTCACTTCATCCCCTGCCTTCTCAGCAGACCCTCCAGGAGACCTAATATCAGCTTCTCTGCTTGAGCCTTCCCTGCCACTTGCCTCCACCTTCCCACCTAACCCAATGACCCCCTTGGCTGACTATGTTCCACTCTCACCACCGGATCACTCTTTGCCACCACAGCCTTGTCCTCCCTTGGAATCTGATTTCCCTGAGGACCATTTCCCAGCCCAACCCCTTGCCGTTTCCCCTCTCCCACCATGGGATGCTCAGACAGTGGACCCTGTTGTTCAACCAGAGGCCAAATTGTCTCTAAATACCATCTTCTCTCCTGACTCCACCGTTTCCCAAGATGTCAACTCCTTATCGGAGTTGTCCCAGACAAAGAATCCCACTGAGACCTGTGCTTGTCATCATGCACCACCAACCCTGTCTGTTTCACCACCACCAGACAGCACTTTAACTGTGGCTCAATCTAAATCAATTTCCATCACCTTGAAGCCTGTTCCGGAGAACTCATCTCCAGATGGCCCTGTTGGATTGTCCACTCATGCCAAAGACTTCTTCCCTTCTACCTTGGCTCAATGTGATTTCAGCCAAGAGATTCTTGCCCTCCGTTCTGAGGCTTCTTCCAGGGGAGACCCTGTGGCCTACGTTGTAGAGCCTGGTAACCTGTCTTTCCTCAGCCCCGAAGTCCTGGTACTTCTGGAGAAACAAGTCCAAAAGAGGAGTGATTTCTTGATATGGAAAGGAAAGAAGGGTTCTTTTCCAAAACAACTCAGGCCAGACTACACACTAAATTCTTTGGGAAAAATGTCAGAGTCAGTTGCTGCCCAGCCTGACTTGGCAGCCTCCCTTCCTTTCTGGAACAGCAAAGACAAATCAAAGGAGCTGCGTGTGCATCAGCAGCCCCCCTATCCTACAACCTTGGTAGAGGTCCATTTACAGCAAACACCTTTGCAGCTCTTCTGGGGTCTCCCAACTCTGCATACTGAGTCTTTGCCCTCTGTTGCCCATGTCTCAGAGGATCGTTCCTCAACCTTTATTTTCAATAGAATCTCTACCTCCACAGACCAGGAATCCCCAGGACTTCCCCCTCCACTTCCTCAGGCCCTGCCTGAGATCCAGCCTCAATCCCTGCCTCAACCCCAGCCTCAACCCCAGCCCCTGTCTACCACTCAAGTCCAGCCTGAGACCTACCTTCAATCCCCACTCCCAATCCTGCCATCTAGTCCTCTACCCCAGATTAAGAGCTGTGGAGTGTGTTTTCATGGACCCCAGAATGAATTGGAGTCTCTCATCCCCTCTGAAATTCAAGACCTAGAATGGAATGTTTTGCAGAAGCAACAGGCAAGTTTGTGGGGTTTACCCGCTGTGGTTCAAAGATCCCATGAGGCCTTTTGTCCTTCGGCTCCTAACCTGTCTAACCGCCGGGCCATCCAGGCCCATGGTGCAGTCTCTATCCTTCCTGGACAGTTTCCTCTCAGTGATGAGCTTCGTAAGAAACTAGAGCGTCACCTCCGAAAGAGGCTCATCCAGCACCGGTGGGGCCTTCCCCGCAGGATCCATGAGTCTCTATCACTGATGAGGCCTACAAAGAGTTTTTCAAACATACCTGAGATGGGGCGCTATCGTAGACCCCAACAGACCTCTAAGAGTCAGAGTAGCAACACTCTAAATGTTGGGTTGAGCCCACCTGAAAGCTTCCATGAGGGGGACTCAGAAATGCTTCAGCTAGGGGACCCCTTTGGGAAGGATCTGGGAAACAACCCAGAGAATGGGCCAAAAGGTCATCTGTTGAGTGACCCAGAGAGCTCTTCAGATAAGGGTATGGGGTATGATGCTGAGGAAGAACTTATGAGCCCATCCGAGAATACATCAAGGGCATCTGTGGAGAGACTAGGCCAAAGGCAACTTGAAAATGTCCTCAGAATACATCTGAGCAAAAAGTTGGAGGAAATCAATGAGGGTCAGCTCCCCGGGACCGTGCATAGTTCATGGCACACTATGAATCAGAAATTGCTTCATCCTGAGAAATCCCACACTGAAGTACAACAGAGAGCTCTGCCACCATCAGTGGGTGGGGAATATTGCCTGAATACCTCCCGGGAGCTTTCCTTCATTGAATCTAATGCACAGCAGATGCTGGAGTCCCATATTAAACAATTCCATCATACAATGGTAGAGGGCGTTCCCCCTAAGGACCTTGAATCCATAGCTATCTTTAAATTGAAAGAGGCCCCATCCCAGTCCTTATCCCATTCGGACCTTCCCTGCTCAACCAACCTGATTTCGGAGGCCAACTCTAAATCTGGGGACTTCAAGTCCCTTAGAGGAAGCTCTAAATCTCTCCATGGAGACAAAGTGGGAACAGCAAATTCAGCCCCCATCCTGGATCATTCTCTCCCTGCC